CTTTTTGCTTGTGTGGTGCTGAGGAATCGAACCCAGGGCCTCATGCATGCAAGGCTCTAACACTGAGCCATCTTCCCAGCCCCGACTGTTGTGTTTCTTACGGGGAAAAACAAATCTTTCTGAAGGCCTGGAGACCCTTTCAGCCTGCATTTTGCCTTCTCACGGGAAGTGAAACTTAGCAGAACTTGAGCATCTGCTAGGGAACAGGTATTGGTTGGGCTATTCTATTGTTATTTGGGGGTGAGGGAAGAAATCACACAAAATCTAGGCACAGGTGGTTTATGCCTCTAATTAATCTTAGCTACTCAGGAGGCTGAAATCTGGGGATCATGGTTCACAGCAGGCTGGGCAGAAAAGTCTGAGAGGTTTTTATTTATTTTTGTTGGTCACGGGACTTGAACTCATGGCTTGAGTGCTGTCCCTGAGCTCTTTTTGTTCAAGGCTAGCACTCTACCACTTTGAGCCACAGCTCTACTTCTGTTTTTCTGGTAGTTTATTGGAAATAAGAGTCTCACAGACTCTCCAGCCCAGGCTGGCTTTGAACTGTGATCCTCAGCCCGAGTAGGTAGGATTACCAAGCGTGAGCCACTTGCACTGGCTGTCAGAGATTATCTCCTTTTTTTTTTCACCCCTGGGGTGTGAACTCAGGGCCTGGGCACTGTCCCTGAGCTTATTTTGCTCAAGGTCAGCACTCTTACCACTTGAGCCACAATGCCACTTCTGGCTTTTTCTATTTATGTAGTACCAAGGAATTGAACCCAGGTCACTCCAGGACAAGCACTCTACCACGAAGCCACCTCAGCCCCCTTGTGGCTCAGGAGGTAGAGTGCTTACCTAACGTGGAAAAGCTAAGGGACAACATCCAGGCCCCAGTTCAAGCCCTAGGAACATCCATGCACACACCCTCACACACGCATGCCCACACCTATGCAACGTACACCTATACACACATACACAAAAAAATCACACAAAATCCATCATTTTCATACATACAATTCAGTATCAGTATATTCACAATATTTTACAGCCCATTGACTCTGCAGTTCCAAAGCATTAATGTCATACCAAAAGTAAATGTACTTCCGTCACTCGGAAACAAATGACACCTGTGTGCCCCAGAAGGCAGATGTGTAGCAGCCAGGAAGGGCTGAGCTACTACCTGTAATCAGCCAGGTACTCAATGCAGAAGCCAGGCTGGCTGGCTTTCTGTATCCGGTTATTGAACGAAGATTTTTTTTTTGGTGGTTCTGAGTCATGTTTGGGAGATGCTAAATACCTGTCCTGAGGGTACCCCTGCCCCCCCCCCACTTTGGTTGGAGAATGAAAGCCAATAGAGCACAACCCACAACTCCCTCTCAGTAATTTGGTTCATCAAATTGTTTTTTGTTTTGTGGTTGGTGTGTGTGCACACGTGTATGTGTCTATAGCGGGGTTTGAATTCAGGGCCTGAGACACAATCCCTTAGCTTTTTTCTGCTCAAGGCTGGTGCTCTACCACTTGAGTCACACTTCCATTTCCAGCTTTTTGCTGGTTACTTGGAGTTAACTGAGTCTCATGGACTTTCTTACTGGCCCTAGCTAACCATGATCCTCAGATCACAGGCTCCTGAGTAGCTTGGATTACAGGTATGAGCCACCAGCACCCAACATGCACCACATTTTTATGTCACCGTGATTAAATAAGCATAATTGCAAGCTCTACCAGGGACAGGCTAAGTACATCCCAAACCTCTTTTTAGGACTTAGGAACACAGATACTTTGCAAGAATTGTCTTACTCCTTTTGTTTGCTTTTGCAGTGGTACCAACATTTAACTCAGAGCTTTATGCTTGCTTGACAGGTACTTTACCACTTACGCTACACTTTCAGCTTAGCTTTTTGTTGGCTATTTGGGAAATGGAGTTTCAGAATTTTCTGGTCAGGCTGGTCACTAACAGATCCTTGTGATCACAACTTTCTGGATTGCTGGAACTACAGGTAGAAGCCTATTTTGCCCAACTTATTCTATCATTCTGAAATGCATCCCATGTAACAGAGGAGGAAACCGAAGCTGATAGGGAAGTAACACATTCAGGCTCACAGATTCTGCATACTCTGCATACCCCTAATTTTGTATTCCCTTTTCTACAAGTACACCACAACATAGGAACTCTTTTTCCATCCCAAGTGGATAATTTAACAGCCAGCAACTATGATTTCTTCCCAAGGCTGAGTCCATAGCATCTACAGCATGCAGTAAAGCAATAGGGATACCAGCAGCTCTGATTCTCAGCCCCATTGGTGAACAGGCTCAGGAAGGACTGGGAAAAAAAGTCATTTATTTTCTACAAAAGCAACAACAACTAATACCACTTAATGGGAGTACATGCTTGTGGTCCCAGACACTAGGGAGGTAGAGAAAGAGGGAACACAGTCCCAGACTAAATTATCAAGAGACTTTATCTGTAAAACTTTATCTGAAAAGTGAAAGGGCTAGGAAGTTATGATGCAATTGGTAAAGTACTTGCCTAGAATGCACAATGTCCTGAGTTTGATCCCAGTTCATGCACGCACTCATGCATGCACACTCAACATTTTTCTGAAAATTCTTTTTTTTTTGGTGCTCATACTGAAATTGAAGTCAGGGCCTTGCACTACTGCTTGGCTTTTTCACTTATAGTCAGCACAATACCACTTGAGCCTTGCTTCTACTTCCAGCTTTTTGCTGATTAACTGGAAACAAAAGTCTTGTGGATTTGTTGCCTGAGCTGGATTAGAACTATGATCCTCAGATTTCAGCCTCCTGAGTAGCTAGGATTATAGGCATGAGCCACCAGCACCTAGCCTGGAAATGTACTTTGTAAAAAAAAAAAAAAAAAAAAAAGGCTTATAAGGCATGCAATAATGTGTCAACACAATAGAAGCATTTTAATATAATAGCTTGCAATGTTAGCTATTCTTAGAGACAGAGGTTTAACAGACTTCACTGGAATCTTTGTTAAAAACTTATCAATTCGGGGCTGGGAAGGTGGCTCAGTGGTAGAGCGCTTGCCTTGCATGCTCAAGGCCCTGGGTTCGATTCCTCAGCACCACATAAGAAAAAAGAAAAAAGCCGGAAGTGGCGCTGTGGCTCAAGTGGTAGAGTGCTAGCCTTGAGCTGAAGAGCTGAGGGACAGCGCCCAGGCCCAGAGTTCAGGCCCCACAACCGGACCCAAAAAAAAAAAAAAAAAAAACTTATCAATTCATCTAAAAAATATATAACATAACAAAGGATTAAATAATTTGTAACAGTGACTAACTCAAACTCTTGAACTACCCAAAATGTAAAGGAAGGGATGCCTTGTACAATTTTATAATTTTAAAAGATATTTTTATGCCATAATCAGCGTTTACTTGATAACTTTTTTTTTTTTTTTTGGGGGTTGGTCGTGGGGCTTGAACTCTGGGCCTGGGCGCTGTCCCTCAGCTCTTCAGCTCAAGGCGAGCGCTCTACCACTTGAGCTACAGCGCCACTTCCGGTTTTCTGGTGGTTTATTGGAGATAGGAGTCTCATGGTCTTTCTTGCCGGGGCTGGCTTTGAACCTCGATCCTCAGATCTCAGCCTCCTGAGTAGCTAGGATTACAGGCGTGAGCCACCAGCGCCCGGCTTACTTGATAACTTTTACTTCAATTGATGGTCCATCTCCTCATACTTTACCTGTCTACCTTATTTTTATTTTATTTTTTGCCAGTCCTGGGGCTTGAACTCAGGGCCTGGGCACTGTCCCTGAAATTCTTTTGCTCAAGGTTAGCCTCTACCACGTGAGCCACAGTACCACTTGTGGCTTTTTCTGTTTATGTGGTGCTGAGGAATCAAACCCAGGGCTTCGTGCATGGCAAGTATTCTACCACTAAGCCACATTCCCAGTCCCTTATTTTTAATTTCGAAGGCTGTTTGTAAGCAAGTAAAAGGCCTAGGTAAATGTATTCTGGGCCTGGGAATAATATTAATCTTAATACAATTATTGCAGTGTTGGGGCTCAAATCCAGAGCCTCACACAGACAAGGCACATACCACTTCGATTATGAGGTCTGGGAATATAGCTTTATTAAGATTTACAACAGCTCACACTTTAAAGATTATTTCAGACCAGGCGCCAGTGGCTCACACCTGTAATCAATCTTAGCTACTCAGGAGGCTGAGATCTGAGGAACATGGTTGAAAGCCAGCCCTGGGCAGGAAAGTTCATGAGACTCTTATCTCCAATTAACCACCAGAAAACTGGAAGTGGCACTGCGGCTCAAGTGGTAGAACACTCGCCTTGAGCTGAAGAGCTCAGAGACAGCACACAGGCCCAGAGTTCAAGCCCCATGACTGACCAAAAAAAAAAAAAAAGATTATTTGGGGACACAGAGCTGAATCTTGTTTTTTTGTTTTTGTGTTTTGAGGCAAGTTCTTGCTATGCCTCAAACCAAGATCCTCCTGCCAACACCGCCTAAGTAGCTAGTATTGTAGGTATTTGTACCTACATCCAGGACCTATGGAGTATTTTAAAGATTTGCATATCATTTTAAAAATAATATCCCCAAATTCAACTGTTTGAATTTCAGCAAGTATTCTTGGATTCTAAATAAAAATTCCTCTTCGATTCCTATTTTCCATTTGGAAATCAAACTGTGCTAAGCCTTCATATGCTTACATCAGCAGCAGAAAAAAATTGGCTTCGATTAAAAAAAAAAATCAACACCGAAGTGTCATTGTTGCTGTATACATTCACAGAATATACAATGTTTCAGGCACCAGACTGAAGACACACCATGACAGCCAATCCAAGTTGGTTTTTTTATACCCTTTCACAAAAGTTAGAGCGGACAGAGGACCGCTTCCACCCCCAGAAGGGGTTGTGCAACGCTTTCTCTTCCACAGAATCTACAACTCCTTAAAGGCCATGCTGCTTAGAACTCTGCTCAGATTTGCTCCTCCATGCAGGCAGGCCTGGCGGGAGGAGGTGTGGTCAGATGTCACGGGAAGGGGGCGCCCACTGCAGGCTGAGGAGCCCACGCTCATGAACACTTGTGCAGGACATTCTTACTAAACAAGCACACTGGTAAGGAAGCTACAAATGTGGGAAGCCGGTGAACTGTTTTGCATTTCCATTGTCTACAAGGCATCACGGAGGTCATGATCCACAGTGGACTGGGTGTAAGAGGAGCTGGGGATGTCTGCAGAATACATCTGGAGGAGCCCACAGGGTTGGCACAGCATGAAGGGGCCCCTGCAGGTTTTAAAGAGCTGTACGATGTACTTGCGAAACTTCTCCCCCAGGAAAAAGTAGATGATTGGATTGAGGCAGCAGTGGACGAAAGCCAAGGTTTCTGTGGCCTGGATGGCGTAGTCCAGATACCTCTCGAAGGTGCAGTGCTGGAGAACTTCCAGCTCCACCAGGGTCTCCAGGAAGAGTACCACATTGTACGGCGTCCAGAACCCAAGGAAGAGGACGACCACGGCGAAGATCATCTTCACCGCCTTGTTCTTCTTCTCATTTTTACAATGCTGCAAGGTCCGGATGATCATGGAGTAGCAAAACAGCATGACCCCCAGGGGGATCAACAGCCCTAAAATGTTGATCTCCAGGGAGCTCAGAACCTTCCACGTCGTGGCATTGACAGAGTACTTGGTTTTGCAATAGGTGTGGTTGCGCTCGGTGTAACAAGTGCTGAACAGCAGGCCCGGAAGGGAGGCGAACACAGCCACAGACCACGTCACCACGCTAGTGATGACCCCATAGGTCAGGGTTCGCGCTCTCAAGGAAAACACCGCATGCACGATCGCCAGGTACCTGTCGATGCTCATGAGCATGATGAAGAATATGCCACTGTAAAAACCTACCAAGTAGATCCAGGAGATAACCTTGCACAGACTGAGTCCAAACACCCACTGATCGGCAGCGTAGTAGCCCCAGAAAGGGAGGGAAAGTACAAAGAGCAGATCCGAGATGGCAAGGTTGAGCAGGTACACGTCCGTCATGGACTTGAGCCTCTTGTACTTGAATAGCACCAGGACCACCACAGAGTTTCCAAACAGACCGAACAGGAAGACCAAGGAGTAAAGAGGAGGCAGGAAGAGCTCCCCAAACGCCTTGACACCTTCTTTGGTACAAGGTTTGGGGATGTTCTCATCCAAGTAGTAACTACTGTACATGCTGTCATCTGTGGTGGTGTCTGCCACATTTGTGGGGTTCATTTTGTAACTCTACAGGCTCCTCAAGACTGGCCAACCAGAGGAAGCTAATAAGAGGAAGAGCAGAGCAGATTTCTGTAAGAACAACAAAGCAAGAGTACTACAGGCAGGACACAGCTTCCCCCCATCAACACACGCCCTTCCCCAGGGAAGGGGCCCAAAGCTTCCTAGTGCCCTGCTGCCACACGAAATAATCCAGCCTGGATGGGGTTCACATGTCAATCTTCTTATCCTCTGCCAGGCAGTGCAGTTCACATTTGTGAGGGAAGTGACATTTCCCTTTCAAGTGGCACCCATGAAGGTTGTGCCTCCAAGAGTTGGATTCACTTTCAAGGATGACCAGATCAGTTGCTCTTCCCAATAGGATGTGACTGCACCCAGGCCCTTCGTGTAGATAAGAGAAAGAATGTATGCATGGCGCTCAGTGGTAAAGCGCGTGTCTGGACATACAGGTAGGTCCCTGGGTTCAAATAATGTGCTGTCTCAGCACAGCTCAAATAATAGTAGTAGTAGTAGTAACATAATGAATCTATGTATTTTTCTAGATTTTAGCTCTACTTTTTTTTGTTGTTGTTGGTCATGGGGCTTGAACTCTAGGCCTGAGCGCTGTCTCTCAGCTCTTCAGCTCAAGGCTAGTGCTCTACCACTTGAACTACAGCGCCACTTTCCGTTTTCTGGTGGTTTATTGGAGATAAGAGTCTCATGGACTTTCCTGTGGGGGCTGGCTTTGAACTTTGATCCTCAGATCTCAGCCTCCTGAGTAGCTAGGATTACAGGGGTGAGCCACCGGAACCTGATTCCCTGAGCTTTTTATTTGCTCAAAAGTAACACTCTACAATTTGAACTGAAGCTTCACTTCCAACTTTTTGGTGGTTTATTGGAGATAAGAGTTTCATGGACATCCAGGTGCTGGGGGCTCACACCTGTAATCCTAGCTACTCAGGAGGCTGAGATCTGAGGATGATGGCTCAGTCAGCCCTGGAAGAAAAGCCTGAGAGACTATTATCTAAATAAATTACTCAAACAAACAAACAACAACAACAGCAACAACAAAAAAACAGAAGTGACCCTGTGGCCCAAGTGGTAGAGTGCTATCCTTGAGCACACGAGGCTCAGGGACAGTGCCCAGGCCCCCAAGTTCAAGCCTCAAGACCAGCCCCCCCCCAAAAATCTCACAAACTTCCCTTCCCAGACTGGATTTGAACCATGATCCTCAGATCTCAGCCTCCTGAGTAGCTAGAACTATAGGTATAAGCTATTGGTATCCAGCTTTCTTTAGGTAATCTTCTTTTAAGAAGGAAGCTAGGTTAGTAGTCACTTGCCCCTACATAAAAAGAAATGCCTCCTGCATGCTTTGTACTGCATAGATCTTAAAGTACTTTCCAGTCTTGTACATTCACTCCCATCCCAACAAAATTCCCACACTCTCACCTAAGCAAGCACAATTGACTGGTGGCAAATACGTTCTGTGATTAAGTGACCTCCGCAGCTGTGGTCTTTGAAGCACAAGTCTCAAGGATGTACTGATAAACCAGGTCTCAGTGGTAAGTGGCAAAAAGCTCTGACTTACCACACTTGCTGGCCAATTCCAGGCTACGAACTACACTACACACCCGCTCAGCATGTTAAGCTGGCACAAGCCAGCTCCTGCACCCTAGGAGCACCTCTCAGGTGGGGACGGGCAGAGCCTTCTGGTATGGACAGCCAGTGACTCCTGGGTCAATCTGATGCTAATGTAGCAAGTGTGTTTATAAGGCTTTTCAGGAGGAAGTACATACTAAGTTGGATAATTTGAGGGAGATTTTTGGTCTAATCAAAATTAGATATAAAACCAACCTATGCACTGAGCTCTTTTTCTGTGTGGGGAATTTAGCCTGACATAGAAAGGCACACCAGAGCCAAAAAGGGCATCGCTACTCCTCACCCACCTTGGTGTCTTGTCTCAACTGGTGACCCGCATGCTCCCCTGAAGAGCAGAGCAATTCATGAAGGACTCAGGACCACCGCTGGCTGCGTCCCTTGTAACACTTGTCACTCTGCTTGATAATTCATACCTAATCCCTTAGGGTCCCACCTGCAGCCTTCCCACCACGCAGCAGAATACCCAAAACCATGTCCCTCCACAGGGAGATTTGGAATTTATCTTAAAATTGCACGAGGGGCTGGGAAGGTGGCTCAGTGGTAGAGCGCTTGCCTTGCATGCATGAGACCCAGGGTTCGATTCCTCAGCACCACATAAGCAGAAAAAAGCCAGAAGTGGCACTGGGGCTCAAATGGTAGAGCTCTAGCCTTGAGCTGAAGAGCTGAGGGACAATGTCCATGCCCAGAGTTCAGGCCCTACAACCGACCAAAAAAAAAAAAACATATGAAAGGTCTGATGCTGTACCACAAGCTCTCCAAAAAATCTGTACCAGTGAAAGGGTAAAATTAAGGCTGAGGATGTGAGGAGTCTTAGAACAAGCAAGAGGAGAGCTGGTTAAAGATTATCATTCTGCAGATCTTCTATGTGTAGTCTGGGATCTTGATAGAAGCAAGAAGCAGGACAGTGTGGAGTTTTGATGACAGTCGTCGGGGTATCTGGGGCTTGATTGCGGAGGAAGAGCCCAATATCTGAATGGCAGCAGGTGAGAGATGGAAAAGCGAAGAGACAATATAGCAGGACAGAGAAGCCTGAATGCGGAGGCTGCGTGAGTGGCTGGCCAGCTGTTGATGCTGCCTCCGGGCCACGTGTCTGGAGAGCAGTGGGTGGCCAGAGGCCCTGGGAACACCCCCACCCCACTTACCTTGTTTCTGGAAGTGGCTCTGAGGAAGATCTGTGAGGCAGTGCCAGGCTTGCTCAAGCAGCACAGGTGCCTTTGAAAGGCATGTGGCTTCCTGTGAGACCCATCTACCCTGAGTTCAAGTGGGGCTTTTCAGAGAGGGAGGAAACAGAAAATGAGATGAGTGACTCATTTTCCAAAATTCAGAGCTAGGAAGGGTTGGCTTCTGTTAGATAAAAAAATAAAGTTGTTTTTGAAGGAGCTTTTTAAAAATGTGTTTGTTGTGCAGGTAGAGGGCAGATCATGTGCCTAGCATGAGCAAGAGCCTGGATTTAATCTCCAACACTGTATGTGCATGTGCACGCGCACACGCGCACACACACACATTTTCATTTCTCACTGGTCATGTGCAGTAGAAATGATCAGTAAATTGTGGATCAATGGGCTGTTTAATTCATTTTCATGGAAATCCAGTGGTGAGTACTCAAGATACACAGTGTTCTCTAAGTAAGCAGTATCTTTAGACTGAAGTCCACTAACACAGTAGAAAAAGGACAATCTTGTTTGCCTAGATATAGATAGGCAGACTGCAGAATGCCCACCAGGTACAGCCATAGTCCCCCCGCCCCCACAGCCTCCAGTAGCACAAGCTCAATAAACCTCCACTCTTTATAAAAACAAGAAGAAGCCAGGAGCTGGTGGCTCATGCCTATAACCCTAGCAACTCAGGAAGCTGAGATCTGAAGACTGGGTTCAAAGGCAGCCCAGGCAGGAAAGTCCATGAGACTCTTATCTCCAATAAACCACCAGAAAACCAGAAGTAGAGCTCTGGTTCAAAGTGGTAGTGTACTAGATTTGAGCAAAAGAGCTTAGGGACAGCACCTAGATCCTGAGTTCAAGCCCCATGACTGACAAAACACTGTTGCTGCTGCTGCTGCTGCTACTACTACTACTACTACTACTAAAAGGATAGCCAAGTGTAGAGAAGTGGACAGTTTGTTCTTATGTGTCTCCATTAACCATATTTTTGGATTTCATAATAAATCTGGTCCTCAATGACCATGTCTTCCTGTTCCCCTTAATATGAAAGTACGCCTGCAGATTTACTAGTTATGATGAAAGGTACTAACATTTGCAAAGTACAAAGCATGTGCCCAACATGTATGTACGTGGTGGCCAGCATATATATGCACATATGTGTATGTGCTCAACACGGCACTAACTGAAAATGCACATAAATCAAATGCACAGGAGCAAATACCTTCCTCTCCTCAAACAGTGGAGCCTGGCATGTTGTCTGCAGCCATTACTGGGAATCCAGAAATTACCAGGGTGAATCATGAGTCACCATCCAGGTTTCCAAGACTGCTGCTCTAGACAAAGTGAGTCTTGAGGTTGGCTGAGTAAGTGCTCTACTGTACTGGAAAAACAGCACGTTACCCTTCAGGAAGGGTTGAAAAGCATTCAAAAGTAGGTCCTCACCCCTATTTCCAGAAGATCAATTTTTCAGTAATATCATTTCTTACATGACTTAGGAACAAATCTTCCCAGAGAGGGAAGATGCCCAAGGCATGGAAGCCAATTACAGGCCAACCTCCACACTCTTGATATTCATCGTCACCGTGTGTCATGAAATTTCTCATCTAGAGCAGAGAGGAACAGACGCACAAACCCTACCCCAGGCTACATAGGACACAGCACAGGGTCAGGTGCCTAACATGAAACTATGGCGACCCCTGGTGGGCCCAGCATTATTGCAACAGCAATCCCCGTGTCTGTGGGAGCTGTCAATCATCAAGGCCTGCATGGGGAGTTGTGGCATAGAGCAGCAGGTAGGAGCCAAGCTTTAGTATCAAAATGAAACTGTGAGTGGAGACACTCAGGGTTGTAACAATGAACTGTATGGACAGCTTGTAAAGTACACACTGAGCAGCTAGGATTGCAGGCACTGATGCCTGGTTTATCCTGAGCTTTTTTGCTCAAGACCGGTACTCTACCACTTGAGCCACAGCTCTGCTTTCAGCTTTTTAGTGGTTAGTTGGAAATGTTGAGTTTCACAGATTTACATGTCCAGGCTAAGCTTTGAACCTCAATCTTGGCCTCCTAAGGTACCAGGATTACAGGCATGAGCCAAAGACACTGGGGAATTCTCTACTACTTAAAATTAGCATACGTGTAACTATGCAAGATATTGGTCAAACTCATCCTTTACATATTGCTCCTTGTTAGATCCCTCCTCCCAACCCACATCTTTTAACAGTTCTTAGTGGGTGTCACCATGTTATTTCCCTGTGCATGTGACTCACACACACACACACACACACACACAACCTTGGTTGTAAACACAATTAGAAACACAAAGTATTTGTCTAGAAGTGTGTATAAATATAGCGTATAAACAACTGCAATAGTGCCACCTTGTGTATGAAAGATCCCTCAGGGACTTTGTAAAAGTCTTCATAAAGAGAAATAGTTATTGCGTTCTCCAGGTGATACAATGGACAGCCACGGGTGACTGGTAGACAGGCAGGCTACAGGGGCTCCACCATGGTGTGTATTATCTTTTCTGAGGTCTTAGATAAAAAAGAGAAAACCATTGTGGCCAGTGGTTCATATCTGTAATCCTAGCCTCTCAGGAGGCTGAGATCTGAAGATCAGAAGATCACAGTTCAAAAGCAGCCCGGGCAGAAAAGTCCTCGAGACTCTTATCTCCAATTAACGAATCAAAAACCAGAAGTGGTGCTGTGGCTCAAAGTAGTAGAGCACTAGCCTTGAGCAGAAGAGCTCAGGGACAGCACCCAGGCTAAGTTCAAGCCCCACAACCAACAAAGAGAGAGAGACAGAGAGACAGAAAGAGACAGAGACAGAGAGAGAGAAACCTATTAGAAAATAATAATGCAGGACCCAGGACTTTAGACCAAAAAACAAACAAAAACCCCTGCCTATCTGGAGGAAATTCTGGGCCAGGGACTGACAGCATAACGCTCTCCTCAGATGGCAGTCTCGCATCATCAGTAGCTATGCTTTTCTATCTCCTTTCCATATCCCCTCACCTTCTCCAACCCCTGCCATTTCCTGGCTTGAATTCAAGGTGTGGGCACTATCCCTGAGCTTCTTTTACTCAAGGCTAGCACTACCACAGTGCCACTTCTGGCTCTTTTGTTTATGTAGCACTGAGTATCAAACCCAGGACTTCATACATACTAGGCAAGCACTATACCACTAAGCCACAGTCCCAGCCCATACATATGCTTTTGAAAGCAAAAAAGTGACTTCTGCGAGCAGTATTTATGACACATACTAAGCTGATGATGTAATAAAATGTACCCATGCTAAAATAGTTGGCCCCGATCACTAAACTCTCCTCATGCAATGGAGTTGATTCTCATTTATAAGGCAGGCCCAATATGTATTCCTTGGGTCTCTTGGTTTATAAAAGGAAAGAAATGGTAATAATTGCTGACTACCAAAAAGTTTATTCTTGGATATAAGTCATTGAGAAGTGGAATCAATCTACCTGGTCAAGATTCAGTCTAGCTCAATTATGAAATTGAGAAAAGGGGAAATTGTCAGTATCTCATTATATACAATATCAGAGTCTCACTGTGTAATTTTCTGTTGCTTCTGTGACAAGTTACCACATATTCACTGATTTCAAACACATAAAAACTATCTTTTGGGGGCTGGGAAGGTGGCTCAGTGGTAGAGTGCTAGCTTCGCATGCATGAGACCCTGGGTTTGATTCCTCAGCACCATATAAACAGAAAAGGCCAGAAGTGGCGCTGTGGCTCAAGTGGTAGAGTGCTAACTTTGAGCTGAAGAGCCCAGGGACAGCGCGCAGGCCCAGAGTTCAGGCCCCACGACCAATTCTCCAAAAAACCCTAAAACAAAAAACTATCATTTTATTGTTTTGGCAATTAGAAATTCAAAGTGTCACTGTGTGTTCTCAGGGCTGGTTCTTTCTACAATTTCTAGGAAAGAACCATGCATTTGCCAGCATCTGGAGACTACATTCTAGAGTTCAGGTAAGCTTCCTCTATTTTCAGGGCCAGCAAACAATGTGGCATCTCTTATCTGCCTTCCTGCCTTCCTGTTTTGTTTTGTGCCATTAAGGGGGCTTGAACTCAAAATCTGGGCATTCTACCACTTAAGCCACAGCTTTGCATCCCTATTTTCTGGTACTATTGGGGTTTTGAACTCACAAGCCTTATAGTTGATAGACAAATATTTTGCCACTTTAGTCACTATTTGCTTTATGGTCCATTCTCCTCCACCACCCCCCCCACACACACACATAGGGTCTCAATTTTTGCCTAAGACTTTGATCCTATGCTTCCATGCCAGGCTTGCTCACTGGGTCTTGCAAATGCTTTGCACAAGCTGGCCTTTAATTCTGATCCTCCTGATCATAACTTCCTAAGCAAGCAGGAATACAGGCATGAGCTACTATACCCAACCTTCCTGCTTTCTTTTCCTTTTCTTTTTTTTTGTTCGGGGGGAGGGGGTGCCTGGTCCTGGGGTTTGCACTTGCCTCCAGGATGCTGTCTCTGAGCTCCTTTTGCTCAATACTAGTACTCTACCAATTGAGCCACATCTCTACTTCTGGCTTTTTTGGTAGTTAATTGGAGATAAAAGTCTCGACTCCTGTCTGGCCTGGCTTCAAACCCTAATCCACAGATCTCAGCCTCCTGAGTACCTAAGATTATAGGTGTGAGCCACCGGTGCCCAGCCAATAGTTTACCTTTTTAAAAATGAGCATATGTTACTTGGACAAGAGGAGTTCCTAATATTTTCATACATGTAAGCAATTTTTTTTCCAATCAACATCATCCCCTATCACTCTCTCCTATCCAACTCCCCCTTTTCTTAAAACAATTTTGGCTATTTTCATCTTTATGTTTTTCGTCAATATTGGGGCTTGAACAGCCTGGGCGCTGTCTCTGAGCTCTTCAGCTTAAGGTGAGTACTCTTCACTTGAGCGACAGCGCCACTTCAGGTTTTCTAGTTGTTAATTGGAGATAACAGTCCTTACAGACTTGCCTTACCCAGGCT